GGTAAGTTCGACGAATGAAGAACAAAGAATTGATAATTTTCAGATGATGAGAGGACCGATGAAGAAGTTCACTGGTTTCCTGATGAAAAATGTATGTACAGAGCAAAGCCAAGTATGAATGAATATGAATGTTCGGAATAACAATATCGCAGATAATGGAAAATCTTTTCGAAGCAGTTCTGCCTACAAATACTGATTTTTTAGAAGAACGTAATTCAATCATATGCTCTTCTATGTCAGAGTTTTGTCCACCGTACGTTGAAATTCATAAATAGATTCATTTTAACGTTTTTATTTTCAGCATAGAAGTAAAAGGATTTGAATTTTCTCTAGCATGCTCACAGTGCGATCACCTGGTAAAATTCGCAAGACTAGTAAGATTTTTGAACATATTTCTCAAAAATGATAATTCGTGCTGAGAACCAGTATATAAAGTATTTTAAGCTGGGTTTATTCCCCTCACAACAAAAAAAATGTTTGAAACAAAGGCATCAATCATTTTCTCATCATGGGCTTCAATTTTCATGCGAAAACTGAAAAACTACCAATGAAATGTGTGTGAGAGTAACACAAACATGCTTTTTATACTAAGATATCTATTCAATCATTTCAAATATGATGAAAATTTTTTAAAATAATCAGATTTCAAACTGTTTATACTGTTTTTCATCTGTATCCAAAGGAAAGATACTATTTTTTCACTACGATGTATGCTGTTTACAATGCCACGCGTTGGTCTTGTTTGTGTCATCCACGTATCGAAAAAAAAAGAGAAAGAAGAGACTGTTTCATACTCATTGACAACACTGTACAGTTCTGTTGATTGTTGTACAAAAAGTAATGAAACATTTCATAATTTTATTACAATTATGTCTATTAACTCATTGTAACTTATTGACTCCTGCTATTCTGAAACAATCTGTTGAGTTAACGCGTGATTTGGTATGTTTACATATATGATTATTTACTTAACTATTTATATTATGTTATTTAGTATCAAATTCTTGGATTTCCTCAATCTGCTTTAAATCAAACAGAAGTTCAAATATCGTTGGAATGTGGCCAGAATATTGATCTAGATTTTGAGGTATTATGATGAGTCAGATATATGTATCAATGTTCTTATTAATAGATACAAGTTGTACTTCGTTCATCGCCATGTGATAAGGAATTTTTTGATGCACGAAGCAGTAATAAGTTGAAACAAAACTTGGTATAAAATATATTTTAGTTTCATATATTGTTTTCTTATTCAGGCTTTCTACTTCTCAAATGATACTCATGTTCCTGATGGACAAGACTATGATAGCATCATGTGGTATAAGAGTCCGCTTCAGAAATATTCATGCTTGGTATGTATCCAGTTGTTTCAATTTATCTCTCTGTTTTCAGAATTCTCATGGTAAAATATTCTTCAAAGATGAGAAGGTGAAAAACATGGAAGTCAGGCAGTTGGTAAGGTTTCATTTCGATACATTAATTGATTTTGTGAGTTTTCAGATAAAATCATCTCGAAAGAAACGTGAAGTCTTCCCTGGGTTAAATGGTGAAACAATTGACGGTGGAACTAAGTTTTCACTTTCGTAAGTTTTTTTAAACTGTTGCCAATTATACTTCAAACCTTTCAGAACATGGCATCCATTCCAAACAGTCCGTGTTGATGCTATATACTTTTTAATCATGAAGGTAGTTATTCAACTTATGATCGTACCTTATAGGCATTTCAGATCAATGTTGTCAAAACACCGAAAGATGTTCCTGACGATAAGCTCTATAACTTCACAGCAACAGTTGAATGGAGAGGTCCTAATGGATTTTTAAGCGCTATCGACTACCCTCTCTTGAGATTCTACACAATGATGTGCGTACTCTATGCTATCCTGGCTATTGTATGGCTTATCTTGTGCTTAAAACATTTCCGAGATATTCTTCAAATACAGTATTGGATAGGTAGACAGTTTATTCTCTATACGTCACATGTGATAATTCATTTCTAGGTGCTGTCATCATTCTAGGAATGCTTGAGAAAGCTTTCTTTGTTTCAGAATATTCGACAATGAATAATACAGGTATGAGTTCTGATGGGATAATCGAGGTTTGAACTAAGAATTTATATAGTTGATATTTATCTTTCTAATTTCAGCTTGCTGAGCTTGTATCTTGTATAAAACGAACAATGTCCAGAGTTTTAGTTATAATTGTTTCTGTTGGATATGGAGTTGTCAAACCTCGCTTGGGAAAAACTCTCAATCAAGTCGCCGGATTAGGGCTTTTATATTTTGTTTTATGTGCTATTGAAGGTCTTGCCAGAGTCTCCAAAGTATGCTAACATCTATAGTTGTTTGAATTGTTTTCTTATTTTCAGAATCACGTTGAAGCTCAAAGACAGAAGCAAATCGCGTCATTACCTCTCGTTATTGTTGAAGTAACTATATTTTACTGGATTTATTCATCTCTGGGTACTACAATGGCG